CTAGTGACTTGCGTTGTGCACTTACTAAAACTCAGCCACGAATAGGCATACTAGTAAAGAAAATGCAAGCACATCCATCTCACTAACCAACCTAATCCTATATTTTTGTTATTAATTAATTTTGTAGTTATTAGAAAAGCGGATATTATTGTATCTTATCGCAGTTATTAATAGAATGGTTTAGTGTTTCATATGTAATGACGTTTTTGGTTTAGTTCCTAGGCGTCACACAATTTAATTGTTAAGGGTGTGGGAGGCGCGAAAAACTTTTTATATTCAACAAAAGGGGACAGTGGTACACAAAAATAAATTAGGAACCTCCCGATCCCTGCAAGTAAGCCCTTCTGGTGGGGTACTTAAATTGTTGTCCAATTTTTAATGTAAAATGTTGGTCCTTAAAAAGTTGGAAAGTTCGGATTGAAGGAATTAGAAACGAGAGAGGAGAAAGGCTCATAAAATTCTGCCAAGAAGAATATGGTAATTGCCAATACTTGTTTCAGCTTTCCTAAGAAAAGACTATATACATTGACGTCTCCTTCACATACAAAAACCACATTGTAAAAAACCAGGTACACTTTATTACTCGTAAATTGCAAATACAAAAACTCTATAACCTCATTAAACCTTATCTAAAAGATATTAACTTCCGTTAGCAATATACTTATCAGCAAATATCCCTTAGTTGCTGACGTGAAAATAAAAGTTAACAAGAATTAAATTCAGAAAACAACAACCAAAATTAATGTAACAATGCTAAAAACGATAAATAAAAAACAAATTAAAAAATAATGTAATGTTATATGCAAAAAACTCTAACTGACAAAAAACAAATATAGGATGTAAATAAAAAGTAGTTAAAATATACAAAAACACATTACTGAAACCAGCTCAAGAAAGTTTGATTCAACATAGGTCAGAGTTTAAAAGCAATGGATGACAGACGAAATACTATTACAGGTGAAAGAAAGGAGGAAATATAAAGAAAAGATCTACAGAAGTATAAAGAAATACAACGAATTATTAAGGAAAAAATCAAAGCAGCTAAGGAAATCTATTTGATGAAACAATGTAAAGAGATAGAAGAACTAGAAACAAAATATGATATGAGAAATATGCACAAAAAAATAAGAGAAGTGACTGGAATGGGTCGAAATAGACAGCAAGGACACAATCAAAGATAAAAAAGAAGTAATACTAATAGATTTACCAGAGAAAATAAGACGATGGGAGGAGTACGTTAGAAAACTTTTCCAAGATGAAAGAGGTGAAATGCAGAAAATACAAGAATTAAATCCTTTAGCAGAGACAGATATATCTATGGAAGAAGACAAATAATCAGCTGATTAGATGAATACCAGTAGAACTGTTAAAACTAGTGGAAGATGATAACTTGGAAGTATTGGCAGATTTATTCAACATGGTGTACGATACGGGAATAATACCACAAGAGTGGCTGAAGCGCAATTATAAAGCCATTCCCTAAAAAACAAGCAGCAAAAGAGTGCTCTGATTATCGAACACTGAGCCTCATGAATCATACTTTAAAAGTACTGCTGAAAGTAAATACATAAGAGAATATACGAAAGGCTAGAGAGAGGCATATTAGCGAGACGCAGTTCGGGTCCAAAATGGATTGGTACTCGAAAAGGACTATTTAGTCATCAACATATTGATTCAGCGATGTCGGGATGTAAACGTTAATCTACAACTTATGCTTTGTAACTACGATAAAAGCTTTCGATAAAGTAAACATTTAAGATCATCTAATATCAATACTTATTAACAAGCGCATTGACAGTAAAAATCATAAATATAGTACAAACATTATATTGAAACCAAAGTGACATAGTTCCAAATTGATGGGCAACACTCAGAAGAATTGACGATCTGTGAGATAGACATCTTATCGAAGCTAAGTATGAATAGTGCTGAGATGAGAATTACTATAAACGCTAAAAAAACGAAGTAATGCTAATTACAAAAAGATCACAAAGATATAATCACCTACTGATAATCAATGGTAACGTAATAGAACAAGCAAAAAATATCAGTACTTGGGAACTTTGATCAGTAAAACCAATGATCATACTGCAGCAATAAACAGCTCATAGAGATTCCAGATCACATTAGTGAATACGCAAATCTAAATTTGAAGATCAGACTACGTACCATTCGCTGTTATATATTTTCAATATTATTATATGGAGCTGAGACTTGGACATTAAAAAAATGCAATTTTAAAAAGAATCGAGGCTTTCGAACTCTGTTTATTTCGCAGAGTATTAAAAATATCATGGAACTGATAGAATTACAAATAAAGAAGTACTGGAGAGGGTTGGTAAAGAAACAGAATAATCACCACTATACAAACCAGAAAATTGGAATACCTAGGCCATGTGATGAGGGGATCAAAATATGAAATTTTGAGACTCATAATACAGGGAAAGATTCAAGAAGAAGATCTGTTGGCCGAAGGCAGAACTCATAGTTGAAAAATCTATGTGATTGGTATCAATGCAGATCGATTGATTTGTTTAGAGCAGCAAGTTCAAAAATAAAAAATCGCATTAATGATTTCCAACCTCCGTGGGGAAACGGCACTCTTAGAAGAAGGCCTTAAATCAGTTCTAATATTTATTGCCGGTTTTAACTCTTACCTTGTTGTATAGGTTTTTTATTGGTTTTGTAATTTGAAAATTTTTAATCATCACAATATTCATGACAATGTATTTTAAGCGCATTTTATTTAATGTACCTGAAAACATTTCTGACAAGTCTCAAATATAAACAGTATTCCCAATATTCAAAAATATCAGGAATAAACAAATTTTACCAAGTGCCTTTTATTACTCATAATACTAATGTAATAACAAAACCTAACGAAATAGCTGATGCTTTTGCTACATACTTCGAAAAAAACTCCAGTCCAATAGCAACCTAGTTCTCGAAGATGTTTAAACAACACAAAATCCAACACAGAAAAACAAACATGCTCTCTTGTGAAGATGAGAGATAATAGTTCCTTCAATATTCCTTAAACCCTTAAGATGAGAACTATAGAAAAATGTTGCCCCTTAATATCTACAAAAAACACTCTGCTCGTCAGACCCGATAATAATACCTTTAGTATTTTTGGAAAAACTGCCAGACAAAGCTAAGTGTACTTTTCTAAAAATTTTCAATCGAATATATTAAATAAATGTTTTTCCAACTTCTTGAAGTGATTCAATAATCAATACCTATTCTCAAACCTAACAATGCAAGAACTAAAATTTTCTCATTTTCTCGTCATTTTTTGCAATTATGTTGCGATAAAATCCACCGACATCGTTACATTGTGCACATTAGTATTGTAAGGATTGTAAACTACATTAAGAGCAGCGCTTTGAACAGTCGTTTATTTACTTTACTTTGCGAGGATCTCGATTCAGATCACAAAGTTCTTGTGTTCCATACAGAAGTACGCTGGCTATCCAAAGGCAACATGTTGGCTCGCCTTTATGAATTGAAAGAAGAAGTAATTCTTTTTCTCGAGTTCAAAGAAAAACACGATTTCTTCACAATGTTCAAAGATGACACATTTCAATGGAGGTTGGATTATTTGGCTGACCATATTCGATGCCTTGAATGAACTAAACTTAAAACTTCAGGGCGGTAACGGCACTATAATAAGCAATTATGATTATATTCAGGGTTCATATCAAAGCTTCAACTTTGGAATCAAAAAATCTCTTCTGAAATGTTATGTCTTTTCTCGGCTGTTCGAAGCAATTAAAAATAATATACTTGACGCAAATTTGAAAGCTGACATAAAAACTCATTTGCAAGCGCTGAAAGACGAATTTCGCCGATACTATCGAGACATCAATTCAGAGTCACCAATATGGCGTATGACAAGAAATCCATTTGTTGTTGATGTGTTTCCAATTACCAGAAGAAATTCAGAAGAATTTCTAGATATGATGGCTGACTCGTCCATGAAAGATGACTTCCATCTTGACATTGGAGAAATTTTGGATTAAAAGATTGCCTGTTAATTCGAAGGTTGCCTCTCTTGCTTTACGAATACTAGATTCCTTTTCTTCAACTTACTTATGTGAGACAGACTTTTCTGCTCTAGTTTTAATTAAAACTAAACAGCGAAATCGTCTTGATGTCGATAGCGACCTGATGATAGCTCTGGCAAAAACAGATCCTAGAATCAACCAAATAGTACAGAATATGCAATCTCAAGTGTCTCATTAATATTTACTTTGTTTAAATTTAATTTTATTTGATAAAAAACATGTACTAGTTTAATTAAACTTTTAAAATTTGTTTATTAGAATTAAAATAAAATTTTAACTATCTAATGTGTCGTTTTTTGTTGTATTTATTAAAAAAGTAAAGGGGGGGCATGAAAATTTAAATTATAGTCCGGGGAGCCCAACAAAGAAAAGGTTGGGAAACCCTGGTCTAGGACATACCCGATTTACCCACGGACACATAATTGGTCACAATAATCCCACTTTATGCGAAAACTGTAATATCCCACTAAGTGGTAAGCATGTACTTGTAGAGTGCCCAAGATACCAGTTGCAGAGACAGAACAACCAAATAATCGGATCAACAAGTGAAATCTTAGGGAAAATTGTAAAATTGAAAATTTGGTAAAACTCCTTAAAGTTATCAATGTTTTTAACGATATCTAAAATTTGTAAATAAATTATCTTATGTATATGTATATATGTCGCTAATAACCTCAGAGGTTGATGCGACTATTTTGTAAAATAAAAAAAATTTCTGACAACATCGTAACAAAACCAATTCGAATTTACAACGATTTACACTACTTTTGACCACCAATCAAGTTCAAATTAAAAGTAATTATTGTCATATTGTCTATACCACTTATATTGTATCTACGATTAATTAGAGCCTGTGATGAAATATGCGTTAAAAATACGAATCTTCCTTCGTTGACCTAACCAATTAGTTTTTCTCCGTTAGTTTCGGTCGAACTTGTGGCAGATGGTTACGTATGTAGGTTTACTGGTGATTTAGTGATGCTAAAGTAAGTTTTTATTTGGTATTTTTCATTTATTTAATTAATAAATAGGTTTGTAGATATCAAAGTTTAGTCATTTAAGTTGTAGTTTGTATAATAAATAAAAAATAGGACTCAAAAAAGTAAACTATTATTAAGCAGTAAACTGCTACGTAATATACTTGTGATTTACCTTTAGTATGGTCATAAAATTTGGTTTCCTTTGCAAGAATCATAGTAATTGTAAATTCATTCATACTTTATTTTATATTTCTCCTTAATTTTCAGGTGGGTTTTATATTTTGAAGTTTAGTTGTCACAAAACTTGTATGTAATAAACTTTGCTCAGTAATTATATTCTTCTCCCTATAATTTTTCACGCAATTTTCCATAGAATATATTAGTAGTTGATGTATGTTCTCTCATACAATGTCCAAGGTACTGTTGTGTAGGACTTTTAAAAGTTAATACCAATTCTCATTTTTATAATTTATTTTTGAGCAGTGGCGGCTGGTGACTCAAAAATTTGGTAGTTCTGCAGTATTTTTTGGTTTTTTTTAATTCAATATCTTTTAATAGTTGTATTTTACAACGAGGCTTTTAGATTGATATTTTACACCATATATTTATTCATTATATATCTATTAAAAAATAATAAAGAACTTACCGATTTTCTTCTTTTCAAATTGAAGATAAATCCAATTATATCAAAAATAGCAATGGTACATTATGGCACACTAGTAATTGTTTTATAGTTTATGTTTTTAGTAGAATTTTATCGATAAATAGGCGAAACTAAGGAATGCAAACGAAAAAACACTACAAACAAAATCGCCACAACAATAATTGCATTATAGGGTCTTACGAACTAACTACACACAGAGCCAAATATATTATTTTTTTTTATAAATAAGCTCGATTCGTTGATTTTTTTTAAAGCAAACTTGTCTATAACTTTTTCATTAAAGTTTGGTATTTCTTTTATAAGTGTTTTTTCTACTGACAACATGGTTAATGCTACAAGTCGGTCTTCAGTTATGGAATTTCTCAAGAATGTTTTAATCCGTTTTAAACTCGAAAAGCACCTTTCAGCTTCTGCCGTACTCATGGGCACTGTAATTAGAATTTGAAGCAGTTTTACAGTTTCTTGAAAAGGCTCTGTTAAATTATTTTCAATTAAAAATTTTAAAAAAGGTATTGCCCCATTAATGTCTCTACAGTCTCTTCTAAAATAAATAACAGATAATTCAGTCTTCAAGCGCTCCCTATCTAAATTTGGATGTGACGCGCAAGTCAGGCTTAAATTATCACCTGGGAAATTATCACAATAATTATCAAATTGCTCAGGATAAAGCAATGAAGTTGCAAGTAGGTGATTTTTAAAAGCAAATCTATCATTTGCACAATTTATGATTATATCACAAACTTCGATAGATGCTCTCCGATGATCTACTGGACTGTTATCCTTCCGTAACCTTTTAGTTGGTAATGGTTCAACGCATAAATTAGAACCTTGGTCAATGGTATCATCTAGTGAATTTCTAACTGAATTCATGTATCTTTCGAAATCTGTCACCTTTTTATTGATTTCCAAAGGATCCGTTTTAGTCTTTTGAAGGGCATTATACAAAACGTCTACTTGTGGCATTATGCGATGGAAAAATGTTAACCAAAAAACAAAATTTTGATCCACTAGTATTCTTCGAATGAAAGACGCTGAACTACAGACAGCTGCCTTATCAAACGATTCTTCTATTTCTGCCATACATTCGATAAAAGAATATCGATGTTCAAACACAACATTAACAGTTCGAATATTGAAGTTCCAGCGAGTTGGAGCGCCATAAGGAATTTTCTTTTGGACGATTTTATCTAAAACTGCCACTCGTTGTGGCGAATTTTTAAAAAAGGTAGGGATTTCATTTAAATTTCCAAAAAAAAGTCTAACTTGAGAGTTTTCGGAACAAGCCTTAGACATTATTAAATTTAATTGATGCGCGTAACAGTGTACAAAATGACCAAATGGATATTTTTCTTTGATTCTGGCTTGAACTCCTGCGTGCTGTCCACACATGACCGCTGCCCCATCATAACTCTGACCAATTAGTTTATTATTTGAGTTTTCCAGGATAGGATCCAAAACACTGAAAATGTTTTTGCTTAAAGTAGCTGCATTTAATTTTGAAGGTACCAAATACGTCCAAAATCGTTCTACCGGTGCTCCATTTCGACAATATCTAAATACTACAACCATTTGTGATTTTGCTGAAATGTCTGTAGTCTCGTGGGCCATGACAGCTAGATATGGAGATTCCCGAATTTCCTCCAAAATTTTATCCTGGCATATTTCCAACATGCAGTCCAAAATATCATTTTGAATTTCTTTAGAAATGCCCTTAAAAACCGTCGATTCTTCAAGTGTTGTGCTAAAGTTCTATCCAATTCAGCAGTAAAATTTATGAGGCCGCGAAAAATTCCAGGATTGTCGGATGTTTGTGTCTCGTCGTGTCCCCGAAGCGCCAATTCGAAAACACTACAAAATTTTATGCAGTCTATAATTTTAGAGAGAACATACCTATTTTTTGTTACAGCTTCATTGAATTTTTGAATATTTATCCAGTATGCAGAATCTGACTGTTCTTTAATATTCACGGAGCCTAATAAAGCATATTCCATTTTATTGTGCAAATGATGCTTAGAAGTTTCGTGCTTTTTTATTTTATCACTTAAATGTACTAAGTCTGTTACACCAACTTGCTTCCATGACTTATCACCTCCAAAGAGTACACAAGGAAAACAGAAAAGAGCGTTCTTTCTGTTGCAGCCACATATCCAACTATTTCTCGTATAAATATCGCAATTAAAGTAACTTTAGCACATGAGACATCAAGCTAATGGCGCGGCAATCGCTGCATTCTTTTGTTTTGTTCCTTTTGGGCAGACAAATCAAAATCAACATTAACCATTCTTTGGGTAATACGCCTGAACTATAAATTTGGTTCAAGAGTGTCACTAAAACATCAATGTGCTCCTCATCTAGAATGTTTAGGATTTCTATAGAAAGCATGCCAGGTCCAGAGCTTTTTCCACTCTTCATTGTTTTTAGTGAGTGTAATATATCTTCTTTTATAATATATGGGCCTATTTCTTTTGACATAAGTTCTATGTGCTTTCTTCCATCATTGAACAATTCGTCGATATATTCTGCCCATCTCTGTACTTTCTCGTCCGTATGTGTTATAGATTTTGTTTTCTTAGCCCTGCCATTTCCTTGTGTAGGTTAAACAGATCGTAGTAATTTTGAAGGTCTTCCATCTCTTCAAAGTATTTGTATTTTGCCTGGTTTATCTCTCTATATTTATTGTTATCTTTGTTTTTAAATTGTCTCCATTGTTCCATCATATTGAGTATTTCGTCATTCATCCATTCTAATTTTCTCCTTGCGATAGTCTTTAGTATTTCTTTACAGGGTTCCAATAGACAATGGTTTTAGTCGATCTTAGTACTCGTCAATATCATTGGTGTTTGTGTTCAATTTACTACAGTTCACATGCAGTTCATGTTGGAGACATTCTTTTACTTTAGGTTCTTTAAGTTTTCTTGTATCTATTGTAGGGATTCTTTACTCTAGATTGTGATCTGAAGCCACGTCTGATCCAGGATATGATATCACTCCTTTAACAGCATTACGGTATCTTTCGTTGATCATAATGTAGTCTATCTGGTTCCTAACTACTTTCTACGATGTATCTGCTAGCGATTGCCATGTATACAGTCGTTTGTTTGATAACTTGAAAAATGTGGTTGTAATAATCAAGTTCTGCAAATCTCTATGGTACACAGTATAATTACTTTTGGTTCTAGAAATTTTAACTATTTGATTTTACCTAAATAATATCAGAGCCCGACAGCCATTTTGGTACCAGAGTAATTAACTAATATTATAATTGATACACCTAATAATTTTTTGCAATCTTTTGAATTCTTTCAGTATCTGAAATAATTTTTTATGTTTCACCTTGTCAAATGTTTTTTTAAAGTATATAAAACATGCATAGACTTCGCAATTTACGTCTCGAGCTCTTTGTACCAATACTTGTATGGAAAATAGGGCTTCAAGCGTTCCCAGTCCGCTTCCAAACCCAAACTGCTAATGTTTTCTTCAAATTTTCTATATATGCGAGAGTGAATAACAGAAAGAAGAATTTTGAGTGCATGGCTCATTAAACTTATAATTCTGTAATCAGAGCATCTGGTGCCATTTGTCTTTTTGAAAAGAGAGGGGTGAAGGTGGAATCTAGCCAACCTGCAGTTTCATAGATTTTGTTCAGTAGACTCGTTAGGAGTTTAAGTTGGTTGTTTTGCTGATAAGGTCCAGGTGCTTTGTTGGTTTTTAGTCTTATTGCATATGTTATTCACTGAGCGTTATTTCTGGTCCTGAACATCCAGAAATACTGACTTCTGACTTTTGCTCTTCCTTGAATAATTCTTCCATGTATTGCCTCCATCTCTCAAGTATTCTCTCATTTTCGTAGAGCAGATTGTGCTCGTCTAGTATTAAGTTATGACTTCGTGGTTTCTCCCGTTAAGTTTTTGGCATTTTTATGTAGGTTACAAGTGTTATTCTTCTGTTCTAGGAATTCTATTTCTATACATTGATCCTGTATCCATGATTCTTTTGCTTCTTTAATCTTTTTCATAATGATTTTGTTTATTTCTTTGCACCTTTCCTCATTCTTAGTTCTGTTTTCTTCGTTCTTCCATTAGCTCCAATATTTCTTGTCTCATTTACAGCTGTTTCTTTATATTGTTTTTTGGTTTAAGTTTATTATCTACCACTGATTTACAGATATTTTTGATTTTACTCCACATATCGTCCACGCTTATGTTTTCTTGAATAATACCTGAGATTATCATGCTGTTTATTTTGTTGTTGATTTCCTCTTTGACTTCATCTCTTGTGGTTTTATCTTTCAACTTCCGGATATCCGGACGTTTTTGTGCGTTTCTTTTATGAAGTTTTTTTATGTGAAGTTTGAAATGTATTGAAAAGATTATGGTCTGATGAAACATCTGCTCCCGGATATGTTTTTGCGGATTTTACACGGAATTCTAAAATCGTTTGTTGATGATGATTAGACTTCGGCAAATATGCATATTGCATATTTTGCATATTGTGCATATTTTATGCAAATATTTCATATTTTGGCATATTTGTATAAAAGTTTGCATAAAGTACATAAAAATTCAGATTTTTATACTGTATTTGAAAATTTTTAAACATACCAAATTTATTTCAATTCTTGTATAAAATTTTGTAGTCATTTTAATCAAGAAATGATTTAAGTACGTAATCTCTACAGGTACAAAACATTTACAATTTCAAAGAAGATCAATTTAAGTAGCCCTCAACATTCTTAGAAAGTCTCGGTCACTGAGGCATTCAGTTATTGGATAATCGCTAAGTCTCGGTCACTGAGGCATTCAGTTATTGGATAATCGCTAAGGGTTCGCTCATTTGCATTTTATGATCTAATCCCCAAATCTACCTACAATTTATTGTATCTTAACAACAGGTAAACGGCTAATAGTTTTGTTTCTAATTTAGGGATTTTCCAAAATCTCCCAGTTTATTGAATTAGGTACCTAAACATTTCTAATTTGATGATCAGATTTGTAAATCATTTTTGTTTTGATATTCAAAGCGTAAACACTCGTTGTGCGTAACAAAAAGGAAGATTGTGATTTTATAATGCCTAAAACAACCAGTGCTTCAACTTGAATTAAACCTTATAAAGAGCTGTCTATGGATATGGGAAAAATCTACCGTTCAGTCTGTGGCAAAATTGTAAGTATCTAATATTTTCTATTAAATATCTAATATTTCATACATACAGGGTGTTTCCAAATGACACTTACAACGTTTGACTGTAGATACTTCTCGAAAAATTGAACAAAACGATATAGTTAATGAGGGGTCAAACTTATTTACTTTTCGAGATACAGGGTGTTAAAATTAAAAAAATTAAATTCTTTTAGTTAATAACAACAATAACTTTAAAACCAATAAACGTATTTACTTGAAATTTAGTACTCCTAGGTTATTTTTAAATGAAAAATAGCTTCCTTTAGTGAGAAAAAATTGTCCATGGTACAATACAATGGTGTGTATTTAGAAAAATTTTTCACCTTTACTTTTTTTTATGAAGTCAGCTATTCTAAAACACAATTATTTTTATTGTAATTGAATTAACAAAAAAAACTTTTGTTGAATTTTAAAATAAGTTTTATGATGTACTAATGGTTAGTAACAAAAACTAATTTGTGGATTAATACTGCATTTAAAACACTTAGCGAGTGTTTTTTTTTCCAAACCAGTTATTTGATTAACCAAAAACACCTTGTATATTTCTATATTTTAAAGGTTGGGTTAAAATAAAGGTTTTTATTTTTATTTATAGATAGCATGTGAGAAGAAATTTCAGATAGACCAACATGTGAGAACTGCTTCACACATTGCAAAAAAGGAAAAATAGGAGGAAAACATCAAACTTCAATGGCTAAATGTTTCCAATCTACTTAAAAAAAATTAGATGAGCAAGAAACTTTTAATGAAGACTTGTGTCGCGCATTAGTGTCTGCAAACATACCGCTTTCAAAATTAGCAAATGTAAATTTTAGTTCGTTTCTAAAAAAATATTGCAAACTTAATGTTCCAAGTGATCGGTCTCTAAGAAGAAATAATGTGAACGGGCTATACTCGTCGGTGTTAATTAATATTAAGGAAGAAATTGCAGATAATTATTTTTACATATCTGTAGACGAAACCACTGATTCCTCAGGAAAGTATATTGCTCATTTATTGATTGGTGTTCTTAAAGAAGATACCTTACCAAAATCTCATCTTATTTCATGCCAGCAACTTGAGAAAACAAATGCTTTAACAATTTCGCGTTTTATACAAGAAACATTAGCAACTTTTTTTCTTCGAACAACTATTCCTTCTAATAAATTACTGCTTATTTTATCGGATGCTGCTCCTTATATGGTGAAAGCAGGACAAAATTTAAAAATATTTTTCCCAGATTTAGTACATGTTACTTGTGTAGCGCATGGATTAAACAGAGTTGCAGAGAAAATACGAAAAAAGTTTCCTCTTGTAAATACCATGATATCCAGTGTCAAAAAAGTATTTCTTAAATCTCCTATAAGAATTCAACTTTATAAAGAAATGCTACCTAATATTCCTCTTTCACCACAACCTATTTTAACGAGATGGGGAACATGGTTAGAAGCAGCTAATTTTTATGCAGATCATTTTATTAAAATAAAGAACATAATTGATACGTTAACAGATGAAAGTTCCCAATCTCTTTTGGATTCTAAACAAACTTTTCAGAGTAACTTGCTTCAACAAGAACTTTCATTTATAAAATCAAATTTTAGTTTTGTTCAAAAAACAATTACTCAGTTAGAATCACCAAAACTGTCATTGTTCGAAAGTACAGCATTAATAAAAGAATTTGCGTCATGTTGTCGGAACGTTAGAGGTAATATTGGAAAAGATATTTTAAAAAAATTTGAAGCTACTATGGAAAAAAATAAACGTTACCATATTCTTTCTGAAGTAGTCAGTGTTCTAGCTGGAAATATTTCGGAAACAATTAATTTAGAACCAAATGTTTTGGTTAGTTTGAAAAATGCTCCCGTTACATCAGTTGATGTTGAACGAAGTTTTTCCATATATAAATATATGTACTCAGACAGAAGCCACAAGTTTTTGTTAGAAAATTTTGAACACCACTTGGTCATTTATTGTTACCATAATTCTAAATAAGTTTATTCATACTTAAAAATGATGTAGTTACTTAAAATAAATGTAAATCTTAATAAATAGTAGGAAATATTTAGTTATGTACACTTTTTTTTTAAATAAAATTGTTACTATTTTACGATTTTTTTATTTATTTGTATGCATATTTTGTAAAATATTTGCATATTTTCGGGTAAACACGTGCATATTTATGCGCATATTTTCTACATTTTTATTTGCATATTTGCCGAAGTCTAATGATGATGTAGTCAATCTGGTTTCTAATCATTTTTTTGGACAGTCAGCTGGAGATTTCCAGGTGCAGAGTCTTCAAGGTGGAAATTGAAAAAAGGTATTCATTATTGTACTATCCGTTTCCTGGCAGAACTGAACAAGGCGGTCTCCTTTATCATTTCGCGTGCCTAGTCCAAAGTGTCCCACAGTATTGCCAACACCTTCTTTGTCAACTTTGGCGTTGAAATCTTCTAGCAGGATATTCACTTCTTGTTGTTTTGGTTTGTTTTAGGGATTCTTTTAATTGTTCATAAAATATTTCTCTTTCCTGCTCTGAGCTTTCCGAAGTTGGAGCATACGCTTTAATAATGTGCACGTTAACTGGTTAAGCATATCTGATATTCCTATAAAACTAAGTACACATTTGTTAACTTCTTTATTTTCTATTATTAAGCGTATTAATATATATAGTATGAGTATGTGTCATGAGAGTTATTTCATGGATACCTTGGCTCATGGATAACTAATTGCTAACGACCTTTCGAAATCAAGAGGGCTCTCAGAGAAGAAGATTCCGTTACTAAAATGCATGTACTTTTCTCTGATTTTGTATGTATTCCTTAATGGTGTTTATAAATTTATAAAACAAAAACGAATATTTCATAGGAAAATAATTTAGGAACTGATATGTTTTAGGTTATTGTGGTTATGGATAATTGTGCTAACAGAATATAATGAATACGTTAGTTCTCAAGAAGTCCTCAATCCTTACTTCCAATTTACGGGGGGATCCGATCCTTTTATGGGGGTAAGTTGTTTATACTTTAGTTGGTTGGATAACTTTTGTATTGCTAAATGGATATCATTGAAACAAAGCATCTGCAAAAACCAATATTTTATTTTTTTCTGTTTACTAGATATTGTTATTATTAATGACTGTTACTATTAAACGTTTTCTATAAATTCTTTTAAGTTTTTCCCGGTACATTCCCACAACTTTGAATCCGAAGATAATATTTTCTGGTGTCGCAGCCTTAGACCCAACTTTAGAAAATATTCGTCCAAAGACTGTGCATCTTATGGAGCATTCAGGATTATTCATAAAAAAAAACGAAGAACCTCCTCATCCCAAAACTATTCGAAAGATTTAAAAACAGATCATGAATGTGTTGCTTGTGTGAGTTCATTTCAAATAGGTAAAGAAATAATAAATAAGACTTACTCACAATCAATTTAATTTAACTATCAGACGACCGGTTTCGCCTTCTACAATATGCAAAGCATCTTCAGGTCTCGATACAAAGTTAAATAAATGCTGAAATAATAAAAACCCATATTAGGGTGTTGTCTAATAAAGATAAACAAAATAGATGTTGTAAATTACAATAATTATGCCAATATTACATGTCTGTGGTTTTATTTCAAAAAGAGTAAGTTGAATTAAAAAGGTATAAAAAGTTTAAACAGACAAGGTAATGCCCACAAATTGTTATAAAATAGTCTATTAGATTGTAATAAATTAATAAATGAGCAAATAAATAAACATTACTTACATGCCGGTACTCTATTAATTGATGGATGGTAGAACATGGTTGAAACTACTATGTATTGTTGAATGGAGAACTCAATTCTGCTATTGTAGTTGTTTGACAGTCAACGGGAAGTTCTTAAGGAGATAGATTTGATCCAATGAAGCAGAGATATGTGTGTGATTGTTTGTTAAATGAAAGTGATGTAATATACCATTGTATTATTAAAAGTTATTTATACTTATTCGAGAGATATATTTATGAAATGTGTGTTATTTATTGAGTAATTGTTTTATGAAGGTGACAGTTTTATGACAATGAATAAGTTTAGATGTACAAAATGTGTGGGTGTGCAATTATTTTTCAACTTGTAGTTATCAAATTTCTTTGATAAAGTTCTATTGGCAAAATAGTAGATTATTGCAAAGTCAAGTAAATAAAATATTAGAATTAAAACAATTAAGGACAATTTAAAACACACTAAAACAGAAAACACTTAGAAGGGACGAAACAAACATTAAATTTAAAAGGTAGAAGGACTTTTATGCACTACATCTCAGTCTTGGGCACAATGAGTTTTTTATGTGTTATTTATTAGATTTTAGTGGTAAATTTGACAGATGTAGGTTAGCCTGTGACAGTTCTTCTTCTGTTTCTCAATACTGCAAGTTAAGTTATCTAGTTTTATGAAATATGCTGATATTAATGAATGTCTATAAATTGTTTCAATTAAGATATCAAAAGTAAATTGATGTGTTTAATATTGGCATACTTTAACAATCTTTAACTAATTAAATTTAAATGTAACAATACGAGTAATTGAAATACATCCCACATTATGACTAACTCAGTCTAATGTCCAAATTACTGAACAAATTAAATTAAAGTAAAATTAAAGTGATTGTTTGGCAACATTGCCATATATGCTTATAGTCGTATTACTTTTTTTTTTGTAAAACTTAAAAACTTTTTTAAAAAATATTTCTTTGGATATTATTCTTTTTTTTTATTTTTACTTTGTTATATAACTTGATTTATATTATATTATTTAGTTTAGTATCTACAAATATTTTGTACTTTGGGACATATAAGCTCTGCTTTGACTCAATATCATTGTATAATAATAATAATAATAATAATAACTAAACTTACCTACCTACTAAAAGTACCTTTTAGATTTTAGTAACAGTGGCAGTTCCTGTTGAAGCTGGGACGCCTGGAGAAGTTTTACTGTCAACCCTTTTGGAAGCCAACTATGTGATTCCAAGTAACCAAACTCGGTTTACCTACCCACCAGATTTTCCTACAGCTGCTTCAGGAAGGATGTTTTTATATGAGTTATTTAAAAGAAAAATTGAGGAGTAAGTAAAGCAGTAAAATTTAAATAATAATCTATATTAAGTACTATCATAATTCAACTTTGATAGTTAGTATGGAGGAATATATTTGATAAGTATCATTATCATGATTATTAGCTCGACAGCCGTTGATGGCTTATTGTATGATTTTCTGTCATTCTGATCTGTTTCTTGCTGTCTTTTTCTAGTTGGTAATTGGTTCTGCTTTTCTAGATTTTTGTTGAACTTGCAGCAGCCTTTCCAGACTTTATCTTAGGTGCCTTTATATTTTTTGTAGGACTGTCTTCATTTGAGTTCTTTTCTTTGGTTTTTTTCCTGTATTTGAGGAGACTTTTTTATTTTTTGTCACTGATTTTACTGAATCTGTGTTTTCGTCAGTGACTGTGTTTGGCACCAGCGGCAGTTTTTTTGATTTAGGTGTTCCTCCAGATTTCTTTTTTTTTTTCTCCTGAATTAGGCTTTGCAGATCCAGAGTAACACTAGCTGTGAACCCCCAATTAGAATTAGTGACGTAGAAAAAGTAAGTCGCTGACTGTGTATTAGATAAGCATCTAAGAAGACAAAGACTGGTTCTAAATATAATTTTTATCTACATATTTTAGGTTTTTTTATCTACATATTTAGATATACTCTAGTCAACAGAGATTTGATGTCTAAAAACGACAAAAATAAGCTGAATTCTGCCAATACTGTCTAGACAGGAACGTTAGTAAATGTGTTCAAAAAGATGTTCAATGCTTGTTTGACAAGAGGCGTAACCCCCTCCCAGTGGCATAATGAAATAATAACCATGATGCACAACAAAGGTGACATTTCAAACCATTTCACCTTTCAGGTGAAGAACTACAGACCTATTAGTTTGCTCTCCCATACATACAAACTATTCATAAAGATAATAACAAAACGGCTTGTGAACTAACTGGATAGTTACCAATCTTGTAAACCAATCTCTGGGTTCCGCTCCAGATACGGACCAAATGACCATCTACAAGTTATAAAAACGCTAATAGAAAAGTGTACAGAGTATATCAAGCCTATCATTCTTATATCCGATATATCGCCTTGATTAAAAGTATTTACGAAACTGATACAGCTTGTGTCCGCCTTCATGAAGATACCAAGAAGTACGAATAGAACGTGAAATTAGACAGGGTGATACTATCTCCCCTAAATTGTTTACAGCTGTTCTTGAAAATATGTTCAAGCAAATGGAACGAGAGGATAATATGGGAATTAATATAAATGGGAAAGATCTGAACCACCTAAGATTTGCCGATGACATTATTTTAATATCTGATAGAGTTGATAAAGCTATAAAAATGCTGCACACGCTCTATAAAGTGTCAAAAACAATTCGTCTTAAAATTAACACCTCAAAGACAAAATTTGATAGATTCAAGATTGAATAGATTGAATAACATTTTCAAGTCCATTATCCCAGTTTATTTAAAAGGAAAGGTTTTTAACCATGTGCGTTTTACTGGTTCTTACATATGATGCAGAAACACTGACTCTGATAAAAAGAATAATAGATAAAATGAGAGTTACACAACGCGTTAAGGAAAGATCAATATTAGGTATTACCATCAGAGATAAAGTACCAAACCTAAAAATAAAAAGAGGAACAGGAGTCACAGATGCAATTGAAAAAATAGCCATGGCTAAATGGGATTGGGCAGGACATATTGCCAGATTAACGGATGAAAGATGGACTAGAAAGATTCTGGATTGGTGACCAAGGTAAGAGGCATATCGAAGCAGAGGACGACCCCCCGACTAGATGGACGGATGACATCAAGCGCATCACTACAAACTTGATGCAAGAAGCTCAAGATAGAAGTAGTTGGAAAGTCCGGAGATAAAAGTGGCAACCTTATTTACGTCTTTTTTTGGGGTACCAAAATTGATTTCTAGAGGTTTAGTGACATTTTCGACTCTGAAGACTAGACTTAGATTGCATGTTGAAGAGTTAAAATGATTCTACATTATGAAGATATTTTCTTCTTCTTCTTCTTCTTCCTATTTATAAGCAATTCAGCTTGTTTATTGGCGGATTAATAGAATATTTTTATTTCTTTATTTCTTCCCATTCTGTATCCTCTTCCTTTGTTATCGCTTTTGACGATTTCATCAATAATTCTATAGGTTTTGTAAGTTGTTCATCCATTCTGACTTCCGTTTGGTTGTTTTAGTCGATATTTTTGATAGTGTTTATTATATTTAGGGGAACTTATCTATTATACAGGAGACGGATTACATATTTGAGTCTTACACTATCTTACGCTTTCTTTATGCCAATCAGACACAGAAATGCTGGTAATTGTTAAGATAAAATTGCAATAAAATATTATTTTTAAGCTTTGGATTTTCTGGAAAAAATTGTCTGCTAAGGGCAATATGTGAATCAGCACAAATGAGCAGCCAACATACAGGTCTCCTTGGTGATATTCTTCATATATTGTTAACGTAAGTAACTTTTTTGCTATCAGCCTAATATAAACCGAGTTATAGCTCATTGAAGATGACAGATTCGTATTGAACGAAAAATTCTAAAAACTCAACATAAAATAACTGGTCGTAGATGGAAACGTCAATAAGCAGGATTCGCGATACCAAGCTAATGAGAATCCACGACATATTTCTTTGAAGATCCAAATGAACGCAGTATAACTGTAATCAGCGAGCGGTATGTCGACATGGTAAGAAATTTTTTGCGCCCCGAACTACAGAATTTTCTGAGTTATAGTGAAGACGGCACCTGGTTCCAACAACCATACAGGCACCGTCATCACATTAAGCAGTGATATCCCCTTTCCGCCACGATCGCCTGATATAACTCCGCTGGACTTTTTTTTGGGGTACCTAAGGAGTGTGATATACACTGACCCCCCAGCAAACGTAGCACAGTTAAAACATCGTATTCGAGACGCTATTGGGAACATCCCTATGATTGTGTGTCAACGAGTTTTTGCTAGCTTAAGATCCAGATTGGAGCAGTGCCAGGAACAAGACGGTCAACATTTAAAAGATATTTTATTCAAACATTAAAATCCTCATGTCTTTTGATTTTAAATTTTTAATTAAACCTATTTTAACATGTAGGGTAACGGAGCTTCATTTATTTAGAAACTAAATTCGATAACGGAACACCCTTTATTAGGAACAGAGAACAACGACAAAAAAACACCGCGAACCACCATGTATGGCAGAAAACGTAAAAGAAATGATACAAGAAAAAACAAAATACATAAGAAATTGCTAACAAATAAAACATCTAGTAATAGAGTATCTAACATATAAAAGGAAAAACGAAGACGTACACAATCAAATAAAAGAAGCAAAAAATAATTTCTGGGAATAAAAATGTGTTTAAGGTGAAAATTTAATTAATGGTTCTTAGACTACGGAAGGATGGAGAACTATCGCTAATCTAAAGAAAAACACCCACAACTCCTTAAGCAACTTAATTGCTACAGAAAAAAGTGGGAAAATCACTATAAAAATTTACTACAAGAGTCCAGGTTGGAATATATGGGAGAGGAATACAGCATGAAGGGACAAACAAATAGTAACATTAATACTACTAACAACGAGGTCCGTACTGCGTTAATTAAAATGAAAAACGGGCGATCTCCAGGACCTGGCAATGAAGCTGCAGAGTTACTTAAAGTAGGAGATCCATTCCTAATAGAACGAATAACTTTTCTACTGAATCAATGCTGCCAACAATTTAAAGTACCATCTGAATGGAAAACCACTCACCAAGTGTTTATCTTTAAAAAGGGTAATCAAAAAGATCTTAACTGCTACAGAGGATTAAGTGTCCTACCTGCTTTCGGGAGATTGTTTGGAAAGATAATAAACGGAAAAATACAAGATGATGTAGGACATCTAATTAGCGAAGACCAAAGTGCATTTATGCCTGGTAGATCTTGCACTGATAACTTGTTTATACTCCAACAATTAATAGAAAAATGAATAGCGGTTGTTACCGAAGTACATCTAGCCTTATCGACCTAGAAAAGGCGTACGATTCAGTTCCAAGACTAAAATTGTCTTGGCAACAATTTAGAGCTTTACAACAACTCGGCATTAGTCCATACCTTTTAGGAATAATCACAGAAGTATACAGGAATAACACTACTTCCCTAAAAATCGGAAATAGACTATCAGAGCTAATAAAAGTAACTATAGGACTAACACAAGGGTGCAGTATGTCACCCTTACTGTTTAATTTATATATTGAGGCAGCCCTCCAAAGCTGGAAAAACCACTGCCAGGAAATGGGAATATCCATAGGAAAGGACGTACTATTCTCCTTGAACTTTGCGGATAACCAAGTCGTCCTAGCTCAAGATTCTTATGATCTAGAATTTATAATAAAGCGTCTATAAAGAGAATATGTAAAATGGGAGTCATCCCATACTATACCATTACTCAAATACAAATAAATTCCGCCACATTTTCTACATTTTTTATAAGAATGCAGTATTTAGCGCATTTCTATATAACTACACAGAAAGTAAAAGAAAGAATGCAAACATTGTATATTTTTAATCATCCATTTGTAATTAATGATGTAATTTAAATTAATTTTGTTAAGAATTACCATAGTACCAAACGTTTATTTCATTTTTTAGGCCATCTAGTTCCAAAATGGAGAAAGAACTTGTTGAATACGAAGAAGCTGAACATCAAGGAAAACAAAACACATGTGAAAAATATTATAAGAAATGCCCCCATAGCATATTAGACTCTATAACACGTGTCACTAACGTAGTAGATTATGAAGCTACCAAATATTTTTCAAAAAATATTGTCAAGCTATTTTAATAAAACATGCTAAAAATTTACTGTGTTTATTTAATAATATTAGCCCAGAGAAATGAACAAATATATATATATATATATATATATATATTATATATATATATATATATATATATATATTTATATTTATATATATATATATTTATATATATATATATATATATATATATATATATATTCGGTTTTATAACGTCTTACGACGTTGTCCGACTCCCAAACGCCACTGTATTCTGTCTTGAGTTAGGTCTTCGTCCAGATTTCTAGCGCTAATCGCTTTCCTAACTCCCAGGTTCCAGCTCTGTGGTGGTCTTCCTCGTTTCCTCTTCTCTGGGGGTTGCCACATCATCGTTTTTTTTAGGCAGTCTTTCGTCCCTCATTCGGCTCACATGCCCATACCATATGAGCTGTTTTCTCTCAATATTCTCAACTATAGTGCCCTCTATACCCATTTGTTGTTTTATCACTTCATTCCGTATTCTGTCGGCTCTTGATATTCTCATCGATCTTCTGATGGCATCCATTTCCGTGGCTTCGACCTTTTTCTTATATTTCTCAGTTATTCTCCATGTCTCAGCTCCATAAAGTAGGCTAGTTTTAACCATTGTCTCATAGATGTTCCATTTTCTTTTCTTTGATATTTTTTTACTCCATAGAACTGCGTTCAAACATGCTATAGCTCTTCGTGCTTGTACAATTCGACGTTCTATTTCTCGTTTGTCTTTTCCACTACGGTCGAAGATGACGCCCAGGTATTTATATTCGTCACATGGATTTATTTTTTGATTGTCATCGATATCTAGTTGTTCTGCTTCAGCTCCAATTGAGAGGTATTTTGTCTTTTCTAGATTGATATTTAATTCCCATTTCTGGTATTCTTCAATTAGTTTTCTAAGCATGTACTCCATGTCGTCTTTGTCATTTAAGATCACCACCTGATCATCTGCAAACTGAAAAGTATATATGTAATCCTGATCGTTCAATTGTATACCCATTCCTTTGACTTTCCTTTTTCATTGTTTCAGAGCTGCAGAGATATAAATCTTAAATAGACTCGGAGAGATACAATATCCTTGTCTGAAACCCTTAGTAACTGAAATTTTTCAGCTAAGAGGTTTCCGAATTTCATTTGGGAGTTTGAACCATAATATAGATTTTTGAGAGCACTAACCAATGTTTGATGTATGTTTAATGTGCCCAGGACTTCCCATAGTTTATTTAGCGGGACTGTGTCATATGCCTTCTCAAGATCTACAAAAGTCATATGTAACTCTCTATTTGTCACAATTTTTTTTTCTATAATTTATTTAAGACAGAAGATGTTATCTGTACATGAAAGACCTGCTCTAAATCCTCCTTGTTCTTTGTCTTCAGACGATTGATAATCTTCCTCTATCAGGTTTCGTAGTATTCGACCATATAGTCGACTCATTGAACTTCTGTGTAATTTCTCTGAGTCATTCTTTATTAATTCCGTAGTTACTCTCTCTCCTTTTGGTAGTGCCTTCTTTAAATATTATAGATCCGAGATATTTATATTTATTGCATGTTTTTGTGTTTCTAATTTGTAACTCTGGATCTCCTTTATTATCTCCTATTTTAAGATACTCTGTCTTTGACATATTCATATTGAGGCCCCATTTTTCATATCCTTTCTTTAGTTTTCTAAACATGTAGTTCATGTCCTCCTCATTATTCGCTACGACTACCTGATTACTGCAAAAAATAAAGTTGTTAGACATTTACCACTGCCTATGTCTATTCCCATTCTGGATACTTGTTTCCTTCACTACTCTAGCAATTATTGAATATATATTTTAAATGTAGTCGGAGATAGACAACATCCTTTGTTATTGGAAATGATTCAGATATAAAGTTTCCTTATTTACGACACTTCTTTCATTTTGTATATATTTACGATACCATCCACATACTCTCTACTGAGACTTACTTTCGTCAATGTTTGAAACAGTTTTTTCAAAGGTACCGTATCGTATGCCTTTTCTAAATCTACAAACAATAGGTGGGTAGATAGATTCCTTGCCTTCCGTTTTTTCGATTACCTGCTGCAGAACGAATATACCATCAGTGCACGATCTTCCTGCACGAAATCCATTTTGTTCTTTTATGTCTTCGTATTCTGATTCTATTTTTTCTTTTAATATTCGACCCTACAATCTCCCCACTGAGCTGATAACAGTTATTCCCCTACAATTAGAGCATTTGCGTTTATCCCGTATCTTGAATATTGAGCTGATGTATCCAAAATTCCAATTATTAGGAATACTTTGTCCTTTTAAGCATTTGTTAAACAGTTGAACCAACATCTCATGTAATATTTTCGGTAAATACTTTACCACCTCAATTCGGATGTCTCCAGGTCCTGCTCCTTTACCGTTTTTCGGTTTTTTGAGGGCATTGCTTAACTCTCCGGTTGTTATCTCAATTATTTGTGTATGTTCGGATATTTCTTCCATATTGATATCTTGAAATTTTCATCTTTCCCTTTCCTATTGTTTTTATTCTCCTTGTAAATCAATACAACTACACTCCTTTTGAAACACTTATTTGTCGTAAAAGGTTTTTTCACGAGAGCCAACAAATCAAGAATAAAGTCGACAATTAGTTGTCCTCTAACTTATTTGTTCCTTATTTTCCTTCGCTACTGGTAGTAGGGTGCTAAATACACCACTGTTTATTTTCCAATTTGTATTGCAGCCTCTTGTGGCAAATTGCTGTGGATAAATTCCCCGTTGTTATATGCCGCCGATGCCGCAATGAAGGACCCACTCGAATGTCAGGTGGTTGTGTCTGCTCTCATCTGACACGTCGAAATTGCACCAATTTGAACTACCAATTTCATTTGAACTACAATCATTTCGCGTGCTGAACGATTCGATGAAAAATTTTAACGGAGAATCTTTCTTTCTCCCTCTCTCTCCCTCTTTCGCGTCCTTTTTTCTCTATTTCAAAGACGATCGAACTTCTCGAAATGCTTAATTAACTCTTTTGTGTGTGTCGCAGGGCCTTACTGCCCTTATTCTTGATGGTTGCTCGTCAAACTGTGATTTGAGACCGCCCATTGCAGTGTTGATTTTGGCTACCAATTAATCGAGAACTCTTTAAAATTATTACAATAATTAATATTGGGGCAAAAATTGTCTGTCTACTAAAACGGGAGATTAAATAAATCAAAGATCTTGGCACTTTTCTTATATAAAAGTGGTTTTAGTTAGATTAGCTGGAATTTTGTCGGAAGTAAGCTTTGGTAATACTGGTCAAAAGTTATTATTACACCAAAACTCAGAGATTAGTTATTGTTTGGTAGTTACAGAGGTTCAAAGTATCGGTTTTTAGTCTATTACAATATTACATATTTGTATAATATACAGGATGTTAGTGATTAACTACATCTAACTTCAGGAAGTTTTTAGCGTAGTATTTAACAAGTTTGTACCTCTGTAGTTTTCTGGTTGTTTTTTATCTCCTATTTTGAAAAGTACATGAACTTCCTGTACATTTATATTAAGTTCTTCATATGTGGTAATTTCTGGTTCTAGCATCGTTTGTTCTTCTTCTTCATAAAGCTTTTTAGGTAGTCAATCCACGTATTCTTTTTTTTATGTGTTTTGGTTCTATGAGTTCCTTTACCTCCGTTCTTTGACCTCTTAACAAGCGTCGTATTTCCTTTTGTAGACCATAAAAATTATGTTCTATTTGACCCTTGACGTTGGCGATTAACATGGCGAAACTGTCTCTGTCTCGAGCTATTCTAGAGTTGCTCAGCTTTCCTTATTCCTGTCCACTCCCTGATATTCTTCAACCAAGAAGCCTGCTTTCTACCAATTCCACTGCGTCCTTCGATTTTACCCATCATAATATGTTGAAGAATATTATATCGGTCTCCCCTTACTACGTGTCCAAAATAGGCCATCTTTTTACATTTGATGTTATCAAGCAGCTCGTGAGCAGCATTTGCTCTCTCAAGGACTGCCACATTTGTCAGCATAGCCGTCCATGGAATTTTTAGTATACGTCTGTGCAGCCACATTTCAAAGGCCTCCAGACGATTAATGGTGGATATTTTTAATGTTCATGCTTCAACACCGTATAAGAGGACTGACCAAATGTAGCATTTAACCATGCGCGTTCGAAGTTGAAGTTGCAAGTTATCATTACAAAAAAATGACCTCATTTTTAAAAATGTCGTGCGGGCTATCTCAATTCTACATTTTATCTCTTGATCTGGATCTAGTTGTTCAGTAATATGTCAACCAAGATAATTAAAACTGGACACGCTTTGAATTATATGACCATCAATATATAATCGTGCATCTTGATGTGCTAAACGGCTAAACACCATGTGTTTTGTTTTTGGACAGTTTATGTTTAGGTCAAACTCTCTTCCCACTGTAATAATGGCATTTAAAAGGCATTGTAGTCCATTTATGTCATCACTTAAAATAACTGTATCGTCTGCATATCTGATTGTATTTATCAGAATTCCATTTACTTTCACGCCCCATTCCAAATTATGCAGCGCTTCTTTAAATATTCTATCTGAATATAAATTAAATAACAGTGGGGATAGTATACAACCCTGTCTGACACCTCTTTGTATTTTACATATTTCTGTTGATTTTCCGTTTATGCAAGCTGTCGCTGTTTGACGCCAGTATAACTTTTCTATGAATCGTATGTCTTGACTATCAACTCCTTTATCTTTTAATATTGTAATTAATTTGTGATGCTGTACTCGATCAAAGGCCTTTTCATAGTCAATAAATACAGCACAGACGTCTTTTCTTTGATCTCGACATTTCTGCAGTAATACATTTAGTGCAAAGAGGGCGTCCCTAGTTCCCAGTCCATTTTTGAAGCCAAATTGTGTTTCATCCTGGTCTTCTTCACATTTATCTCTGATTCTACTGTGGATGATGCCTAGAAATATTTTCAAAGTGTGGCTCATAAGGTTTATCATTCTATGATCGCTACAGTTTTTCGGACGTTGTTTTTTTGGTAGT